ATTAGTGCATAAAGACTAATGGCAAAAATCTAATAATAATAGTTTAAACAATAGTTTGGATACAAGCCTCAACAACGAAGATAGCTTCGACATGAGTGATACCGGTATGGAATCAACATCATCCAGTAGCAAAGGTAAAAGTAAAGGAAGAGGCAAGGGCAAAGGCAAAAATAAAAATTCTAAATAAATAGTTAATTATCTCTTTTTTTCCTTACAGAAACATAATTTCTTTTTTTTTTTTTTTTTTTTTTTTAAATTTATGTATTTAATTTATTTTATAAAATATAGATGATTATTTTAAAACTCATATAAAGTAATAAAATGAACTCTGTGATAATAATTTTTTTATAATAATAATTTAAAATGAAAAAAATATACAACCCCTTTTAGAATATTTAATTAAAATAAATAACAATAACTTTTTTTTTATTTTTTATTCCTTTCGTTTGTGTACATATGAAGTTCCTTTTAATAATTCTTGAATTAAATGCGCACCAACCACCATGGAAGCTGAAATATAAAAGCTAAAATTGGAAAACAACCAAGACTCTATTCAACCCGAGTGTGTGATGGAAATTTAATTTCTTTTTGTCTAGTTTTTTTTATGATGATCTAAAAAATAGTTATTCTAACTCTAATATTTAATACCAAACGGAATGGCTCTGTGTAGCCTTCATCAGTGTCATAAATGGACATAGTTTTCATCGGTATCATAATGGATATCATCATAATCTTCATGGAACTCTTGATTAAATATTTGATTTCTTTTGATTTTTGAAAAGATGGAAAAAATTAAAGCAAATAAATAGGTTATAATTTTTGAAATAAAACCTATTATTTTTTGAATCATTTTGAATTATATAAAGTAGTTATTATTTTAAAAAAATTTATTATTTTTATTGAAGTTATTATTATTAAAATTTTATTAATGATAATTAAAAAAAAAAAAATATTAATAATAATGAAAAAAAATAAATTAAAAATTTAAATTATGTGTCAGTAGGGGTATAAAAATTTAAAAAAAATAAAAATTAAAAAATAAAAAATAAAAATTAAAAAACTAATGGGGGTGGCGAACTTAGAAAAAAAAGTGTCATTGAAAGGGCCTTTTTTTTAATTTATTTTTTTTTTTAATTTACTTTTTCATTTTTAAAAATTTTTTTTTTTTTTTTTTTCTTTTCTTTATTTTATATACATACAAATAATCATATACCTTTATTTTTTTATTATAATATTCTGACATTTAATAAATTTTAATAATAGCAATAATAATTTTTTATATTTATTAAATAATTTTCAAAATAACATTTCACATAACAATTAAAAAATGGATTATATAATGATTGTTTTTTATATTTTATTAGCTATCATCAGCATTTCATTATTATATTTTATAATTAAATATTTTGCCAAAAAATATAATAACAATAGAAACAATAATAGCAATAACAATACCCCAATAACCAATAATTTATTTGATCAAATGAATTTTTACCAACACCCACAACAACACCCACAATATTTTAGAACAAATGATCAATCCCCATCACATCTATTTGGTCTCACAACTTTCCCATCACACCTTAGACCACAGTTTCCACCACCAAATTCATCTGCTCCATCCACAATTTTATCATCAACCTCTGAAGGAAAAGAATGGATATTTGGATCAAAATATTTGGAAATAATAAAAAAAAGGGAAAAAGAAGAAAAAGAAGAAAAAGAATGGGAAGAATACCAAAAATCAATAAAAGACAGATTGATTAGAGAAGGTTTTTGCTACAAATGTATTTCAGCAGATATAAAACCACACCGTTTGGCTTTTATTGGATGCGGACATCAATTTTGTTATAAATGTATTTTAAAAAGATCATTTAGTGACAAAACCTGCCCACTTTGTGAAGATCCATTTGATGATATCATTGTAAGTAATTAACACATTCATATTTATATATTAATTAGATGAATTATATTAATTTTTTTCATTGATACTTTATAGAAGTACTGGGAGTTATGAAGGCTTATAAGGCAATTAAGATGAAGATATACATTAAGATGATGATGATCTTTTAGATAATGGATACTCGATTAATATTGAAATAGGTGGCGATTAAATTAATAGTTTAAATACATTACTCTATGTTTCTTTTTAGAAATCGATGAAGACTAAATTATTAATAAAATCGTTCATTCAATGTTTCAATTATTGATCGATGAAATTAAAAAAAAGTCAGCTACATCCTAAAAACAATCTCATCTTTATCAACCTTCATTTCTTATAAATCAAATATTGGGGTTTTTGTTTATTCTTTCTTTTTCAGTGCCAACCATTTCTAGTCACATATCAAACATTGGGTTTTTGTTTATTCTTGTAATATGGTATAAA